GTTTCCAAGGGGCGGTTGGTGGATTTGAACTGCTAACCTTTTGGTTAGCAGCAAGCTCTTATCACTGCGCCACCAGGGCTCAGATGCCTTACTGACTAGAACATAGTAAACTCATTGCCATTGTATTGATTCTGACTCATGGCAACTCTGTGTGGTTCAGAGTAGAGCTGTACTTGATCGGGTTTTGACAGCTGTGACGTTTCGGAAGCAGATCCCCAAGCCTTCCAAGGCACCTCTGGGTGGATTTGAACCACTAACATTTCAGTTAGTAATTGAGCATTTAACTGTTTGCGCCACCCAGGGGAACCAGCAGAACGTAGTAGGCATTCAGTAATTATTTGTTGAAAGTTGAATGAATGAATCAAGTACCTATTTGAACATAGCCATGTGCCCAGAGTTCTGGAACAGATAGCAAAGGCTAAGGGAGGCCCGCGAGAGGAGGGAAGGGGTTTATTCTCAGGCCCATCTCCCAGCCAGGCCCTGGGCCAGGCACCGAGGACTCAGCAGTGACCCAGAGGGACCAGGTTTTGCTTGCATGGAGCCCACGTTCTCATGTAGGAGATGGGCAGTCAGCACTGAGGCTGGGGAATGCAGTTGAGCAGTCAGGAGGGGGTGCTACGTGAGCTAGGACAACCAGAGAATGCTTCTCTCAGCTGATGCTTGAGTAATGAGAAGGAACCAACCTGGGAGAGTTCTGGAAAACATAGCGCCAGGCAGAGGGAGCAGCATGAGCGCAAGCCGAGGCAGGAACGAGCTCAGCTTGTTGAGGACAGCGAAGGGAAATGGTGGGGATGAGGCTGGCAGGGTAACTGTTGGCCAGACCATGCTAATGGCCTTGTGGGCTGGTATGAGATGTTTGGAATCGCATAGGTAGACATTGTTGAAAGGAGGACTTTCCTGTGGACATGAGCCTGGACTGGGGCCCAGAAAGGAAGAAGGCTCAGGTTCTTTCATTCCTTCAGCAAATGGCGTGCTGTTATGGGTTGGGGCACACACACAGGTATTGCCTTTCCAGAACTACTATGCAGAAGGACAGTGGGTACACGAGGCAAGCTGGTAGGCAGGTCAGCAGGAGCCAGAGAGCCAGAGCGCCGGGAAGAAATGACCACGAGGCAGGCTGTGGGGATTTCCTGGCTGGGATGCTCTTCCTCAGCTTATTGGCATTTCCCATGAGCCTAAGGCAGAGTTGCCCCGTGGGTCCCGCCCTGCCCCACGCTGAGTGGTTAAGGGAATTTAATTAGGGCCTGAGGAGTGGAGGAAACCGGATGTGCTGAAAGACTTTCATTACTGCAAGATTAACAGGCTCCTTGCCTGGGGCTGCTTGAGACTAGAAAGTCCCTGAGCCCTGGACCTGCCCTGGAGTGTGGGGACTGTGGGTGGGTGGGCGGACTGGGGCACTAGGAGGTATGTCCCCCCCTGCACACGTACATGCCCTCTGTGTCTCGCTGCCGGGGCCTCTCTCAATTCCTGGAATCTGAACTCTTCATCTCCGCCTCCGTACCCTGGACCTACCCCGCTGGGTCAGCAGTAGGCTCTGTGGCAGTTCACGTCAGGGATGGC